TGACTGACTGACTGACTGACTGACTGACTGACCAACAATTTATTTTATATTCCAGAACGTGTATGTTTCTCTCTGATAATAATATTATAGGTGTTTGTACAATATAGTTTCAATTTCATTAACCGATATATAGTTTTAATTTTATTAACCTATTAATTTTGAAAAACAATTTCTTATCTTTTTAATGAATTTTTAATTGAAGTGTTACATTACTTAAATTTTTGGAAAAAAATAGTTCTTTGGATATACATGTGTATATTCTTGTTTTTCTTTTATTTAAAACTTGACCTCATTGAGCTGTGCCACTGCCGTACTTTGTGAAGGTGATTAGCGAATACAATTTTTATACCTCTTAAAATATTAATAATTCTAATAATATTATTTATAATTAAGCATCAAGTGCCTCTGATAAGTTTAATATCGATAATTATAATTTCATTTTTTTCGCTTTTGTTTTTTAGATGAACTTTTAATGACTTTCATAATTTTCAAAATGTATTTCAGCACCTTCTCCAACAAATGCAATGCTTCACACAGCACATATATGTCACACTAAAAACCAAGACGCTGCTCAAGAACCATGGACATGTGCACACCTTGACAATCTTGATCAAGCCAGGGAAAAAGGGATCACACCCCATGAAATTGTGTTTGCCATCCAATTTCCCCATCCTGGATTAGAGATGTCTCGCTGGCATCAATTTATTGCAGCATCTGTTAGACTTGATTTAAGATTTGACTCTAGTTTTCCTTACAGAGCAAAAGGTAAGAAATTATAGAAACCAATAATTAGGCCTGAAGTTCCAATTTTGTATTTCTCCTGCTTTGCCAAAACATCTTTATACTTATACATGAATATCAGTTGTTGAATTTAAGATATTTCACAATCAACTTTCACTTAGATAATTAAACAGCAAATAACATATAGGCCTTGCTCATTGACATAAGTTCAGTAGCTCAGTTGGTTAGAGCCTTAGACTAGAAAGCAGAAGGTCATGAGTTTGAATCCTGCCTGGACATCGGAATGTTTTCTGAGAAACATTTGCTTGATGAAACACAATTCAAATATTTAAATATTACTTATTAGCAATGTCATATAACCTAGATATCAACTAGATAATTATTTAAAATTGTGGTATAATTTCCAATTTTATCTGTAAAGATGATAAACATGGCTATCCAGTGTGGACATTTGAAGCAAGCCTGTTTTATAAGGATAAAAATGATACATCTGGTGGATGGAAACTCATGGCACGTTCCTTAGAAGATCGGGAACTTGTATGTCATTTCAAAGAGTCAAAGGTAATTCACTACTTTAATGTTTCTTAATAAACTGGACAATAGCCAGCAAGAAGAATTTTGAGACTGCCATTGACCAGCCTCTGTTGGTACAAGTGAAGTGATTAATGTCATACGACCAGGGTAAAAATCCAATCCCCAAACAAAACTGGGGGAGTCGCAGGGAGATAACTAGCTCAGTGCATTCTAGTCTGCATGTCTAATGGCATGATATCTGCATGTCTAATGGCAAGTATCCCCCTGAATAGGATTTATAAATACATCTTTCTACTGTATGTATATACCCCTATATAGTAATAATTGTCAGTTGGCATGAAAGAAAGCACTAAGAGTATGGATCAGGTCGGTCAGGAGTAGCTCAGTTGGTTAGTACGCGGCTTTCAGAGCTAGAGGTACACGGTTCGATCTTCAGGATCTCCACGTCTATTTCAACTTCTCTCTAATTCAGCTCTGAATACTCTTAAAACAGAACACTGATGGAGAGAGGGTGTAAGTGCACACCGTCAGATTCCATTGATAACAGTTGCATTTCAACTGAAGGAACTACTGACATTAAATATAGGTGCATGTTCTTTACCCTTTACCATATGCCAGTCATGGTGCAAATAATTCTCAATAATCCTTCAAGTAGGCTAGCTACCACTTTTTCTGTATTGATACAGCATGATGTTATGTTACAACTTGCTGTTTCCCCTGTTACTAATTAGATGAAAACACTCAGTCAATCTTCGATAGTGTGTAAACTTGAAATGATATTGTATCATCAGTAGGTAAAATTGTTCTGCAGATAAAACAATTTATTACATCAAATTCACCCAAGGTCACAATGGAGATTAAAATTTTYATTATTCACCTTTTTCCTGAAGCAGACTAAACTTTTACTATCAGACTGTACAAAATGTACAATATTAAAAACAATTATGGAATTTAGTTATATAACATATGCATGCATCATAAATGTTCAAGACTATTTGGCTATGTGTTCTGCCATAGGCTGATGCAGATAAAATGGCAGAGTTCTTGATCATTTATCCAGGTGATATCATGTAAAAACTGAACATAGATTAATATACATTTTGTAAACTACAGTTGTAAGCATAAAGATCTAAATCTGCTTTTGAAAAATTGCCAAACAAATTGTGACCATCGGGGAATTTGACATGACTATTATTCGCAAAAATACCTAGAGATAATAGATTTATCATGACAAGATTGCACCATATCAGGAATTGGCTGAGGGCTTTTGACCATTCAGAATCAAGTAAAATGTATAATAAGGTAAATTATCAAGACTCAGCTGTTTTATCCAATCAACACAACCTTGCATGCAGATCTTGGTAATTTAATTTACGATGTAATGCTCACCCTCATCCAATAATTGTGTCAAAATTGGGCAGATTTCAATTGTTTAAATACTCACTCCTGATTGGCAAATTTTATATGAGAATTTGTCTGGGTAGCACTGTAATGCAATCAGATGTAGACCTTGGGAATATAATACACCTATCAATATCAAGCCCTGGGTTGTGATCTTGAAGTGACCATTTCCAGGTTCAGGAGACATCGTACAAATGCTCTAATTGAACAATCATAACCCCAGTTTTCTTTCCTGGGGGGCACATATCCTTTAGTTTTTTATCTTGAGTGAAAGATTAATAGGAAAATACTGATAAATGCTGCAAATCTAATGAGTCAAAAATACCAACGATGTTAGCCTCACTTTGAAAATACCAAGAGTCACAATAGACATAACAAAAGAGCAGCATTAATTATATTACACCGGAGGTATATGACCTCTCATTCTCATATTCTCCTCATCTTTCCTGAGCCATGTCTGTATAATATAAAGCTAGTCTCTTACCTGCTTTTCTTTTCCTATCTTCACTTTTTTGAATTTATGAGATACTCAACTCACTCAACCCAAATAACCCTGCAAGATACACTCTAAACAAAGAAGATTTCCGAAAAAAAGATTCCATTCAAACAATTTTACCTTGAATTGAAAACTCAAAATGGTCGCCTTGTCGTCGTCTTGACGTTTCTTGCGAAAGGCGGGAAATCCCCACCGTAGCGGCTAGTGCCATTCTCTTTTTCTCTCGTTAAATAAAATGTAGTCACAGTTTTCTAATGACAATTTCTTAAATTGATCACATCAAAATGATTCTCGTTTTCAGAATAATCGCGATGGAGGTTATTATGATTGCGAAGATATCCCATTTTTTGAAATCGGTAGTGTTTATCATGAATACTACTTGGTCAACCTGAGGCTACCCGTACATCGATCCAAGAACAGACACATAGGACCAGTGTCTGAACTACATTTTGTGGTAAGTCCACCTTTTCAAATACGTTTGTTTAATTTGTCTGTCTGTCTGTCGGTCGGTCTGTCGGTCTGTCTGTCGGTCTGTCTGTCTGTCTGTCTGTCTGTCTGTCTGTCTGTCTTGTTTCGTTTGCTTTGTTTGTTTTAATTTGGTTTTTGGGATACCCTGGGTACCAGAGGCCTCGTGGGGCTCACTCACTGCCTCTGGTATCCAGGGTATTCTTGGGACTTAAGCTCGACCCGTATCTTTTTACATATATTATTATCAGGAGATTCATCAAAATGGTGGCTTCACTCGGGTTTGGTTTACCATGAAGACAATCGTATCACCCATTAGCATCATCTTGCTCTTGTGGTTTGCTAAGCGAGTTAAGAACCTTAGTCGTGGACCTGTGCTGCTTGAGAAGTAAGTTGCTCTCTACTTCAATTTCTTAGTTGATCATTCATTCTTGGGGTGCTTGTTAATTATAGCCACCATATTAATTGACTATAACAAAGTAATTCCTAAATAGCTTTTCTTGTACGAGGACGAACCAGCATGGCGGCTGTTTCATGCATTGTTATTTATATCTCGAGTTATTTCAAGTCATTTGAGCCACTAGTGTAGGGAGGGGGAAACGGGTTCACATAATCAAGAACTCTCTACGTCCCCGCCTACAACTGGAACTATGTTGATGTGCAACTACGTGCAAAACGCTGAATAAAATATGTGTCTGTCTGTCTGCCTACATGTAGCTGCATACCAATAATATAGTCCGTCTAACCAATATCAATTTTAGATAGCTCTATTCCTTCGGTAGGAATAAGGCGCTATGGCGGGAAAAATGAACAGAAGACGAGCAGACGCGCGAATCTAAATCATTCAATATCCCAAAACTGTAATCTTGTAAAGGAAGGTTAATCTAGATTTCTTCTTGTTTTCAGGACTCTTTTTTTACTTGGAGTTGTAACAGCGTTTCTCAACCGTAAGTCTTAGTAAAAGAGACAATGCAAGTTAGACGCATGCGCAAAATGGCTAAGACGAAGAGTTTTTTTCCGGAGACTCCGGTTTTCCTTTCCCTGCGCAGAACTTAACCAGCTAAATTCCAATTGGATCTGTGAGGTTAGCCGTGCTCTGACTTTAATGCGCCCAGAGCTCGAACTAGTTTCAGGCTTCAATAAGATAAAATGTGAAAGTTTGATTATTTTTCTTTCAGTACCAATCGAGTGGTTTACTTTGTGGGTGGATATGCCATTTATGCTGCTATTGACTGACATACGTCAAGGTCTGTTTTATGCCATGCTCATGTGCTTCTGGATCATATTCACCGGAGAGCACTTGCTGGTATGTAAAAACTTGATACAATAACTTTTTCTTGAAAGCAAAATAAATGTTAATGCCCGTTAATTAAGCAACTAGAAATCTTGAAAGGAAAAGTAAGGGTCATCCAGAACAACGAAAGAAGATGCTTGGTGGCGTTTCACGGTACGTTTTTAAGGTTCCAAATCTGGGGTCTCGTACCATTTAGGTTGACACAAGACTAAACGGACCATGACAGACTGAGCCGGCACCTCTTAGGGGTGTGTAAGATTAATAAGATACCCGAGATTATATTAACTTAACAGCCAGAATGGCAGTTGTAATGCAGGATATTTATTTTCGATTCATCATATGAATCCTGTCACATAGCACTCATAGATGATTGGTTCACTAGTAGAAATCATTAATTGCTACGCCCACCTGGATAACACTCGTGTACCTCAGTTTTAGGAATCATTTCAAAATTTTCCAACAAGCATCCCTGCCCTTTTATGAATGGGAGTACTAAGTAGACTCACCCCACCTCCCGGGGGGATATTCAGCAATTTTGATCGAGTTAATTGTTCGAAGCCTAGAGAACGGGAAGTAACGGTTCTCATTTTAAAAGCACGACTTCCTTATTTGTATGCAATTCTGAGAACTTTCTTAGTTTTAGATTCTGTACAAGATTAACAAATAAGGGCGGCTGTAAACCGTGAGATTTTTAATAGAAGACATCGGTTGGTCCATTTACTTTGCTTTAGTCGGATAAGAAGCGAGGAAGGGGTTTAGAATCTGAAGCTATTCGAAATAGGTGGTGAAAATGGAAGGGTGATGGACCCCCTTGTTTCGTCCGCGGTGCCTTTGCAAACCGCATAACTTTATGTTAGACAGGAAAGTTAATGTTCTAACACTTCAGTTTTTAGTCTTCGTGTATAATTTCTAATGCAAGTTAAATGGAATGGATGTGTTGGGTGCTAAAAGTGTTCTTCTTTTTTTAAAGGACCAATCAGAAAGGAACAGACTAAAAGTATACTGGCGACAGGTTGGAGCGATTGCATTTGGAGGTGCTTGTCTACTCGTTTTTGATCTCTGTGAAAGGTATTCCACTTCTGCTTGTCTCTGCTTAATGGCCTCTGGATGTTTTGCTACAATAGACTTTAGTAGCGAATATATACAAAACTGTTATCGTCTTAAAAATATAATATGACTAGCATTAATTAATTCAAATCGTTTTGTTGACATTAATTTTCAGAGGATACCAGCTCAAAAATCCTTTTTTCAGTATTTGGGCTACAAAACTTGGAAACGACCTGGCAGTATCCTTTATTTTAGCTTTGTTCCTTTATTCTCTCTATTATATTGTTGTCGTTTTTCTTTTTGATTGCTGTTTTCGCAGTCTTTTTGTTTGCTGTTGTTGTTGTTGTGGTTGTATCGTTGTTGTCGTTGTTGTTGTTATCGTTGTCGTTGTCGTTGTCGTTGTCGTTGTTAATTGTCGTTGACATTGTTGTCGTTGTTGTTATTGTTGTTATCGTTGTTGTCGTTGTTGTTGTCGCTGTTGTGGTCTTTCCCATTTTGAAGATAATATACCATGCTGTTCTTTTTTCTCGTACATGTCCATTTTAATGTCAAAGCAGATAAATGGAAAATGCAGGCAGACAATACAGAACTTTCTGAAAAACCTGTTTCTTAAACTACTAAACAATTAAGAAGTTACACAACATACAGCATCGCGTATTATACATTTAATTGCTTTTCAATGGCGTGGGTTTTCTATGTTTGGGTTTCGTCTGCACCGAGCTGTAAGGTTGCCGGAAAACATTGACTACGCAGTTGAAAACACCATGAATGAAACACCTCACGGGGAAGGGGCTAGTCTCCTACACAGTCGCTATTAGTCGCTATTAGTCGCTATTAGTCGCTATTAGTCGCTATTAGTCGCTATTAGTCGCTATTATAATAGCGGCTGTGTAGGAAACTAGGGGGCGGATAATGAGGTATTTATTCGTAGTCTCTTCTTAGCTTCACACATGATAGTCTTAAATGGATTCATCATTCTTTTTCCTTCCTTTCTTTTTTTAATTGCAGCAAAATATCGAAAGGTATTTGTTTTATTTTACTCTTCGACTTGAGAGTATTATATTATATTGTATATAAGTGAGATTTCATATTGAGCCTTTATATTGTCAATGTCAACACTCGCCTACCATCCTCGCATTGATTTTGGGTCATATTGTTGAAGCAAATCTAAAAAAAAGTAATGAAAACACGAAAGAAATCACGCTTTTCTCCATGGAACTTTTTTCTTTTGTGTTTCCATGTTAGCCTTGCATTCAAGATAATTCTAAGAAGGGTCCATTCCTTGGATACGAAAATTTGAACATTTATTATCACCTTTAGATGTACTATCCTTAACTACCATCAAGTACGCCTTCATCATCTGTGCTGCTGTTTGCGCATGCGTATACTTCTTGTTCTTGTGTGTTTTGGTTATCAAAGTTTTTTGGAACATTCGAGGCAAGAGAGCGACATTTAAGAACATGTCCCGAGCAAGACGCCTAAATTACGAGGTGAGTGGATGATGACACTCAAGTGTCGAACAAATCAAACTATCTTCAAGTTCAAAATGAAAGCTATCAAATCGGCCAAGGCGAAACGAGCAAGGGACTGGGGCGCATTTTAAAGTTAAGTGTAATAGTCCCCTTCACAGTTCCCTGCGCCATTTTGAAAGGTAGCCGTGTCTTTGTATCGAAGCGAGACGAACGGTGAGCTTGCAGTGATAGAGACATGTGAATAATTGTCCAAGGTGTTGAAAAGAGGTCTCTATCATCTCTCATGCTTGTAAATTGCATAAAAGCAATCCGTCATTCACAACTCAATGTAAAGCGCATTTGATTATATCAATATAGAAAGGGCGCTATATAAAGCATAAATCCTTATTATCATTATCATTATTACTTTCAATTGGGCCAACAATCGTCGACTTCTCACACGTTGGTTACCAAGCTTTAAAATCCATTATATTCAAATGTAAGTAATAGTACATAAAAAATATAGTGCGGACAAATTCTGGGGAAATTTAACATCGTTGTGACCTTTTGCTTATGCCGGTATTCACTTTGCATATAATGCATTTCGGGCTTGGTATGCAACATGCGAGAAAAAAAAAGTCATAATCGCTGATCACCAACGCAACTAGTACAGCAGTGGCGCAGCCCAAACTTGCCACAAAACCTTCAAAGCCTTTTTTGAAACAGCCGCATTTGAGAACAATGTCCCTGTTTTACCATATTTAACTATGGTCTTACAAACGATCCTATCACCAATGCATCTGACAGGTTGATATCTATCCATAGGGTCTTATTTACCGTTTCGAGTTCCTGATGGTGGTAACTCTGTTATGTGCTGGTCTAACCGTGGTATTCTTCGTCATAAGCAACGTCAATGAAGCCCACTGGAAATTTGGCTCGGAAGAATCAACAGTTGAAATATCAAGTAAGAATACATTTATTAGGAATAACTTATTACATGAAACTTTCGCGACATGTTGGTTTCGCGATTTCAGAAGTCGGAACAACACTTTCGCAATTACATTAAATAAATCAAAAATATTTTTTTCCAAATGCACATATTCTTTGAATTAATATAATTATTTTATTGTCTTTAAAATGATTTTAAAAATTGTGTTAGATCCTGGGTTTTGACTCGAAGATAATGAGTACTGGAGCTACTCCTTACTCTCAATAGGACGTTTGCACGATGGCTTTCTTTTGTTCAGTTAATTAGCACCAATTGTCTTACTATTCTCATGAGGGAATACAAATTTAAATAAGAAAGAAAATTCGCAAAGCATCTTGGTAGTGGGAGTCAAATGACGCCATCATGCAAACGGCTTATATCAAAGGACTTTTATCCATACATTAAATATGTAATAGGTTGCTATCAATAGACGTCACTTCCGGTAATAGCTCTTTTTTGATGGCTYGTAGAATTCTGGAGGTTGTTTTGATCTCTTGTTTTCTGGTTTGATGTCGTGAAAATAGTCAAATACAATAGTTTGAGGACTTATTTTGATATGTTTTGACTTAGCATCCGCTAGTTGCCCCCAGTCAACCGCTTGTTTGCCCCCCAGTCAACTCCAAAAAGTCACGTGATTGATAGTAAGCAATAAGGTATCTAGTTATTGATTTAACACTGTATTTAAACGATTTGTTTTCTATTGTTTTTCTAGGTGCTTTATTCACTGGTGTATATGGCATGTGGAATGTGTATGTCATGTCAATCATGTTCCTCTACGCCCCAACTACCTCGGATCGCTATCAAGGTAAGTCAGTAACTCTTTTTTACCACAGGTAGCCCAAACCAAAATATTTCCAACTTGACCTGTTTAACCATTCATGGTTCCGACTCAGACACTGTTGCAGCAGTTTTAAAGAGCACTACAAGGATTACACTGCTAGTTTATTTTATAATCGATTTTCCGCGATCAGGGATATAAATTCTGAGATATTCTAGCTTGTGGAACATAGTAACGGTAACTAAGTAGGGAGAGTTTGGAACATGTAGCTTTAATTTGTTTAAAAAGATCTTTGGATCAGTAAATGATAGAGACTTGATAAGCGAAGTGACACGAAATGCAAACCAATCCATTCCCGCCGTAGATCTGCTGTATCGCACGCATGATATATTTATTTACGTTTGTATACCACGAGATTTTCATTATTTGAATGTTGGTGTTGGTTCGATTAGACTTCTGACTAATTACATCTTTGTTTCCATTGCCTCTCCAGCTTCATTCGATGGTAATCGAGAGACTGTAGAGCTAACGGGAGCTGCTGATCCAGTTTCTGGAGCAAAGGAATCTATTGTATACTCGATGGCTGGAAAAACGGCGCAAGAATAACTCGAACTCAATTCAACTAACGCCAATGGTGCTGACAATGATCTCTCAGCGACCCTTGTTCCTATCGCTTGTTTTCACTTTCATGGCGATAAGAAGCCATTTTGAGGCAGTTATTAGTTTCAATGAGCATATGTGAACGTAATATTTTCCTCGCCTTAGTTAGTCTCCCCCACAGCCGCTTTCAGTGTCGTCACGCAACGCTTTCTCCCCTGACTAGCGGCTGCTTACCCGAGCACAACATTCCTTTCCTATTGTTTGTGTTCAACCAATTAGATAAGTCTCATTGTGTTTCAAGAACCAATCAAAACGTTTCGAATTTGACATCTYGTAAACATTCGCGAGACTAGAGAAATAATTCTAAGACGCATTTGAGTGGAGGTTGGAGAAAATCTTTGGGAAATTAAAATTGAATTTGTTCTTGTTAAATGTTTAATACTAGAAAAAATATTATTGGAGACGGAACTAAGTGTTTTCTTTGTTCATAAAGAAAGAAAATATTTATATTTTTATA